ACATAGTTGTTGCGATGCCTCCATTCACGACACTCGTGTTTTGCATACTTGGTCCACGAATTATATTCCCATTGGTCGGAGACTTTACCGTTGTGATATTTGTCGGGTATGCACTTTGGGAGACATGGAATATCTTGAAGCATTTCAAATTGAAGTTTCACACGATCACTGTTGTGCATTTCGACGGTGGTGAAGTTGATAATGGGCACCTTTGCACTCCACACCGCAGAATCTTGTCGTTCAACTTGATGAAATGCTTCTAGACCAAGATACGACCGCCAAATGAACGGAAGGATGAAAAAAATAATGTTTAGTATTTTCTAATAATATTCAAGGAGAGTATAACATAAATAGGTAGGTGAATGAGTTTACATCTTCTTGCGCCAAGTGATCAATAAGATTTCGGTACTGCGTTATACTGAAGTGGGGACAATTGTCATAATTCATTCCAAGCGAAGACCACCTACAAATAGAAAACAATAAAATTTATTAATAATATGATTAATAAATAAAAACACTTTGATAGATAAATGAGAATTGGAAAAAATAATTACCTTTTAGCGAATGAGAATTCAAACTGATTTTGTTGGATAGGTGCTAGATTGGTCATTCTTGACCAACCCCAAGATTGTAGAAGAACACCACATCCGGTCCAATTTCCGGTATTGGCTATTGAGTTATGACATAAAGACCGATATAGGTGCGCTAGTTTAGCGGACCCCCAACTATATGTTTTTATTTTATCTACGTCATCTAATAAAGGTAAGTACATAGAGTGAACGGCGCTTCCACTTGTATCCGGACATAAAAATAACCCTATTAATAGCATTATATAAATTCGGGTTTTTCTAATTTTTAGAATTTCAGGAGAATCGGGGGTTAATGTCAAGTCTCTATAAATTTTTTTGAGCCATGACATTAAAAGTTTTTGTCCCCTCAAATCTCGTGGGGTTGGTTCAACCCCCAAGAGTTCTCCTATGAAATTACCGGTAGGATTGGTTTTACCGTTGACCGCCTTACCATGAATGGGTAAACCCAATAACATGTATGTGTCCTCGAGTGTAACTGCACATTCACCTATTGGAAGATGAAATGTGTGCGTCTCGGGTCGCCAAATTTCTTGCAAAGCCAAAATAAACTTAGAATCAATGAGATAATTTGTTATCTTAACGACCTCTCCAAAACCTGCTCGCTCCAAAAAAGGTTGAATCAACGGATCATGTGGGAAATATTTATGCCCACGAGTACGAAATTCATGAGTATCCTACAAAAAAAATAAAACATATCATTAGAACATTGTATTTGTTACAAAAAAATAATAAAACATATCATTAGAACATTGTAAATGCATTATAATGCTACAAATAAATACAACATTGTGAATTATCAAGTAGAAATACTTACATACGACGCGATGTTGCTTGGTGTTCCTCGATGCGTTTCACCCATTGTTAACAGAGACATGACTTCTATAGTGTGAATATATGTGGAAAATATTGGGAGAATTTGAATTGTTGAATATATTTGATGTGTTTTTTAGAATGAAGAGGAGAAGTATTTATAGTTGAAATTTAGAAATTTGAAATTTCAAATTTGAAATTTGAATTTATGGTTGTATAGGTAAAAATTTAATTTGTGTAGTTGTAATATTTATTGATATTAATGAGATAGTTGAATTTGTGTAAAAAGATATTGATGTGTAGAAATATTGATAGATGAATTCGTACACTTGTCTTACTGCATGCATGCATAAAGTTACTTATTTTACACGTGTCATAGGGGCTCCATCCCCCGCGGCTCCCCCCTTGTAATATAAAGAAGGGGCTTCATCCCCCACGCCCCCCCCCCCCCCCTTATAATTTAAAGAAGGGGCTCCATCCCCCACGGCGCCCCCCTTATAGTTTTAATAATATTTAATTCGTGGGATTTTAATCTATATGTATACATTCAAGCAAAAAATAGTATACATCCCTTAAACTATCATTCAACTATGTCTAGAACATCCAATTACATTGTTCATTCCCATTATAATGGAGAGACTTTCATCTCTGAGAATTCGGGTTTCGGGTTTCAAAATACAGATCTTACCCGATTAACCATGAGTAGAAAAGCAAATTTTGTGCATTTCAAAGAGCGCATACAGTCGAAGATTTTGTCTGGTCAAATCTCCCAGAAGGAACATGTGTTGCTGGAAGTAGGATATTTTCTCGTCTCTTTTGGGCATTTCAACCATGTATCAAAGGTTTTGCGTTCTGCAAACCAGTTATACAAGTCGATGGAACATGGTTGTATGGAAAATACAAAGGAACATTGTTGATGGCGGTAGCACAAGACGGAAATAATAATATATTTCCGATTGCCTTTGCCCTGGTCGAGGGTGAGACAGGCGAAGCTTGGAGTTTCTTCCTCAGAAATTTCAGAACACATGTCGCACCACAACCCAACTTATGTCTGATTTCTAACAGACATGCTTCTATTGTGAGCGCCTACAACAATCCTGCTAATGGTTGGCACAACCCTCCTTCTGTCCATGTCTTCTGCATAAGACACATTGCTCAGAATTTTATGCGGGACATTAAAGACAGAAACCTCCGTAAAAAAGTTGTGAACGCTGCGTATGCCTTAAACCAACCATCGTTCATGTATTACCGAGAAGAATTAAGGTTGTCAAGCGTGGAAGCATTAAGGTGGGTGGATAATATTCCAGTCGAGAAATGGACTAGGTCATTTGATGGAGGGTGTAGATGGGGTCACATGACCACAAATCTTGTAGAATCCCTAAACGGCGTATTTAAGGGAACTAGGAACCTCCCCCATCACAGCGTTGGTAAGGGCAACGTATTACAGATTGGGGTCACTATTTGCAGCAAGAGGCAAAAAATGGAGCGCTGTACTGCAATCAGGGCAAATATTCAGCGAATCAAGCATGAAGTATATAAGGGATGAAACTTCTAAGGCGGCCTCACATCGAGTTAGACCATTTGATCGTCACGATTACAGCTTCATTGTTGATGAGACAATGGATCACAACGAGGGTCATCCAATGGGACACTACAGGGTGGAACTTCATAAAAATTGGTGCGACTGCGGAAAGTTTCAAACCTTCCGCATGCCGTGTTCACATGTCATTGCCGCATGTTCAACTGCTCTTCAGGATCCATTCTTGCAGCTATCAGAAGTTTACAATGTCGTGAACTTATTCGGTATCTACAGTAGCAGTTTTCCAGTGGTAGCTAGTGAGGACTACTGGCCAACCTATCATGGAGACACAATCTACCACAATGAAAATATGAGAAGAAACAAAAAGGGTCGCCCCAAAAGCACCCGAATCACAACTGAAATGGATACAGCTGAGAAAATGGAAAGATTGTGCGGAATATGTCGTCTTCCCGGGCATACGAGGAAAAACTGTCCAAATGTTGGAACAAGTTCTAGGTAGATTTAATTTGGTCTTTAAAATTTGTGTAATCGTGCAATTTAATATTTATATCAACTTTTCATTACCACAAAAACGAATTGAATTACTTCTACAGCATAAAACGCAAATCATTAAAATACAACGATTATTACAACATAACCTAAGATATAACAACAATCAAAGTAATATCATCAGTTCCGAACATCATAGACCTAACTTCGTTGTCATCTCTAATTCGCACCCAGTCACGCCGTATGTTTCCGTCTTCAACAGAGAAGTACGAGACAAGTCTTTCAATACTCCCAATTCTTTCACCATTTGGAATGTCTCCTTCTAGCCACCGATTCAAATTTCTTCGTAGTTGTTCTAAACTCTGAATGTTCCAAAACAACATCCTTATCGGAGGCTTCGTCGGTGAAAAAATTACATGCCCATATCTTCTAAGGAACATGACTCACTCTTCTAAATTTGGATGAAACAATGTTAACAACATGTCTACCTATTTATAAAAAAAATTTTGAAAAACCATAATATAATATTTTAATTATATTAATTTATAATATATTTTAAAAATTATTTTCGTATAAAGGGAGCTCCATAGGGGATGGCGCCCCCCCTTTAAGTCGTTTAAGGGAGGCTCCAATGGGTATGGCGCCCCCTTTATAATTTGTAGGGTGGCTCCAACCCCCATGGCGCCCCCATACAAATTATAAGGGAGGCTCCAACCCCCATGGCGCCCCCTTGTAAAAAAAAATAAAAATAAAATACAAAACTATGGTAGATTGGATAATATATTGGAAAGTTGGGTAGATTGAAAATTATAGTATAAAAACTTGGTTATTTGAGTGAAAAAATCCCGTGTTCAATAACACTTGCAAAGTTTAATAAAAATAATAATAGCTACTTATAAAATTTTAATAATATATAAAAATAACATAACATAACATCTATTAAAAAATATTTAAAAAAAATATAAGCAACAACGAGAACATTCATTGAAGATCTAAAAAAAATTATTATGTCGGAAATGTTAGATCAAATCCAAAGTTTTGAAGATCTAAATTTCATTATCTTACAAAAATAGTAACAGTCTTAATTAAACATCACAATATTTAATTAATTTTGTAAAAGTTTTGATTGAATATTGAATTAATCTATAAAAGTCTTTTAAAATTTTTTAAGATTTCAATCCAATATATTATTTCTCAGTATCAATTTGAAAAATGTTTTACTAAAAATTAGTAGTACGAGAAGGACCAAACCCCATTAAAAACCGTTTTGCTAAAAATAATCACAGAGGTAGGCGGAATGAAGGGGAAAAATAATTGAAAGGAAAAAAAATATTTTATATCCACATTATATAAAAAACTGAAATGAATTTTTGTAAAATTCAAAATATTCCCGTCAATGTGATTTAAATTTGATATTTTCTAATTAAAAATTAAAAAATTCTATTTAAATTTTAAATCCAATTCGATTTGTTATAGGTTGTTATTATCTCTCTCCTATCTGTTAGGGTTAAATAATAACTCTCCTTTATTTTAGTTTTGATCGGCAAATTCTACAAATTTTATTTAACCAAATGGTTGATAGTGTGAGAAAAAGGAAGAGAGAGATGTATTCTTCTTTTGCGATGATTGATAGGCACAATACAAGATTTTCATCGATGAAAAGGAAGAGAGATTATGAGAATTGTATCGTTTGCTTTGACGGTGACAACTTCTTGTTGTGTGACCGTAGGTGAGAGTTTATGCTTCATTATCAGTATTATTCGTGTGTTAATTTTGTATTTACTTAATTTTTTGTTTTCAAAATTTTATTGATTTTTGTATGGTGTTTGTTAGGGGATGCCCAAATCCTTACCATCCTTCATGCGTGCTTAAGGAAGCCTTATGTCAAACAGAAGAAAAATTGAATGCTAGTACAGGTGAGTTTCCTAATTTCATATCTCAATATCATCTTCTTCATATGAATTCCTTGTTTTTATTTTATTTGTGATAGATTTAAATCGCAATTCTTTGTTTTTATTTTATTTGTAATAGATTTAAATCGCATTTTATTTTATTTGTAATAAATTTAAATCGCATTTATATATTGTTTATGCATCTGCAATAAGAGTATCTTTAATAGGAACAACTAAATTGGATGAATTAGGTTATTTTAAATGGGTCTAAATTGACATGAAGGATTTAAACAAACCAAAATTAAATTAAGAAGTTTTTATTTCAACAGTGATGGTTTATAAGAAATTCAAATTTGATATTAAATGGTTAATAAAAATCTATTATTTATTTTAAATAATTAATAAAAATTTATTATTTATGTTAAATAATGAGTTAGAGTACGTTGCTGCTTGTATAGAGCACGTAAACTAGTTTTAGAGCATTTCATATGTCATGTCAGTTCTACTATAATGCAAATTTCTTATTTCTAACTTAAGCTATACAAAATTTTAGTTTAACAACTATGCGATTAAAGTTGCTCCAAAGTCTTAGATACTTAAATTACAGAGTATTGCATTAAAGTTCATATTAAATATAAAATTTAATACGACTCTTGTTGTGGTATTTCAGGAGAAGACATAATCAGTACTTTACCGGATTCACTTATTTATCACATTCTTTCTTTTCTTCCAACGAAAGATGCTGCCGTCACCGTTGTCCTCTCAAAGAGGTGGAGACCATTATGGCTCTCACAACTTATTCTCGACTTTGATTGTAAACAATTTTCAGATTGTTTCGCCTTTTGCAACTTTCTCTACTCAGTCATGATCAGGCGAGATTCCACTCTACCTATCCGCTCGTTACACCTTAAATGTTTCAGCTACGGCAGCAATATCAACAATTTTATTTATGAGACAGTTTATGATGCGGTTATGCGAGGAGTTGAGAATCTCAACTTATACGCTAGAATCACATTACCTTCTCTCATTCTAAGTATCAAAACATTGTCGGTCCTTAAATTGAAAGGGCTAACATTGAAAGATGTTGCATATGTTCATCTCCCATCGCTCAAAGTCCTTCACTTGAATTACGTCACTTTCACACATTATGATTATATCTTGAAGCTTTTATCTGGATGTCCTATTCTAAAGGAGTTGGGGACAGAAGAATTGCGAGTAGAGTTGCCTTATTCAAATATACCCGTTAAAAGTTTATCCAATTTAGCTATAGCAAATATCTCTAGTGATCATATTGAATTTGATTGGATTCAAAACGTAGAGCGTCTGCGCGCAACAATGGTATGAATCTATCTCACTTCTTATTCAAATATTCAATAAGTACTTTAAAAATGTATCTGTCATGAATTTATAATTGAAATTTTGTCTTTGTAGCTTATAAAGAAGTTGTCCTATACACTTGACCGCATTGCGACGTTTCACAATTTAACTCACTTGGAGCTTATCGTCAATCCTCCACACTTTCAACTGAAGTGGAAGTTCGAGTGTGTGATAAAGTTGCTAGAATATTGTCCCAAACTTAAAGTCCTTATCATGGAAGAGGTTTGTAATATTCTTAAGTAATGTTTTTTAATTCTACTTCAATATATATACTAAATTTATTCTTTGTAATATTTTTAAGTAATGTTTTTTAATTCTACTTTAATCTATATACTAAATTTATTCAATTGTGTCTCAGGATACGTGGCTCAACAAAATATATGAGGAAGATTGGGAGGAACCACAAACTATTCCAAAATGCATTTTATCTCATCTAACAAAATGCGTACTTAGGAATTTCAAAGGCATTAATTGTGAGGTTCACTTTGCAAAATATATTTTGCAGAATTCTAGAGCACTGCGGTTCATGACAATTCAGAGTTCTATGGATACAGATGTTAGGCTTATGGATACAGATGTTAGGCTTAAAATTTTAAAAGAATTATCTTTGTGTTCTAAGAATTCAGCAGCATGCAAACTCTTATTTATTTGAGTGATAATATTAGTACATAGCTTGTGTGAAATAATTCCTAATCTTAGTTTGTATTTGACTGATAATATTAGTATATTATGTGAAATAATTCCTAATCTTAAGTTTGTATTTGACTAATAATATTAGTATATGACTTATGTGAAATAATTCCTAATCTTAGTTTGTACCGGTAATTTCACAAAGAAATATTGGTATTTTGAAATTTCAAATATAGATTGACATTTTCAAATTTTGAAATCTCAATCTAATACATACCCAAATATCAATTTAAAAATTATTTATTATAAAAAATAGTCATATTTTTAGAGGTGGAATGAAGGAAAAAGAATTTAAAGGAAAAAAACAATATATTTTATTAATATATAAAACAGAGAGGTCTAATTAAAAAGAAAATATTCATTTAGTTATAATAAAAAAATTTGTTTTATAATAAAATACGTAAAATAAAAACATTGTAATTTTGAATTTAGTTATATTAATTTAAAATAATAACAAAAATAATTTTATTGTCTAATAGTTTACAATAAAATCCTGAATTTTCTTCATCTTTATTGATTCCATTTATTCTCCTATGAGGTTTCACTAATTTAGAAATTATCAACACCATTTCTAAATTAATGATATAATTTATATTTAACAAATGAAAATAATGTTTAATAAAGTAGAGAAAATAGTAGAAAAAACTACTATAGTATTCTTCAAAATCTCTATAAATTCAATCTTTAAAAATCAATTAAAATACTGCTGGTATTATCGCTGGGTAACAATACTAAGGTATTTTTCTTAATCCAACTATTTGTCAATGACGATCAATGACTAATTTTTTGTTGTGGATGGTTAGATAACTTAGACGAAACTAAGTATGTAGGTTCTTCTCTAAAAATTAGTATATTTATATCATGGCAACAAGTAATAAGGGCTTATTCAAAACTAAAGATGTTTTTTAGTATTTTCTTATTATTCCTTGTGAAGGGAGTGTTAAGATGATTTTGAAAAGAAATTTTTTGCCAAAAAACATTGGACATCTTTGATTTAGGAGACATCCTTCTATCCCTTAGGGTTGATAGTTAAACAACGTTTTTGTTTACAAAGATGACTAATCAGTTGTTGCCTAGATATATTTGTACTAAGATTATGAGTTAAATTTACCTACATAGTTTTACCTAAGGTAGCTAATCATCCACAACATCTTTACCCTGCCATATTTATGGATTCTGATGATGATAATCATCAAAATAATTTGATTAAACATGAAGAACTTATGAAATATCCAAAAAATTTGGATAAACTTAATAAATGGACAATTCCATCAGTACCTTCAAATCAAATTTTTAAATTTGATAAAATAGATTTATTATCTCGCTTTGCTGTAAAAAGCTTAGAACAAACTATTCAAATTTTTGAAAGTACTCAGACAATTAAACTCTTAACAAAAAAGGATTTACTTCCTTTTAAAATTATAATTATATCCATGTTGGTTTAATACAAGTTGTTTTTAAACCTTTGACTTTGCTAGGATTAAATACTAGCATCATGTGATATATTAGAGATGCTAGATGTAAAGATATTAAACAATCGTTAGCTACTTTAATTGAGACAAGTCTGTGTCATGGACCAGTTTGTTTTGATGTCTCTCCCAATATAAGCTTATCCATGATAAAAATTTATTAGATGCCCTTCAATTAACTATTCATACCAACGGTTACAATTTTAAACAGGGTAGTGAAATAATGGCTATATGTTATAGGGTTTATTACAAAGTTCTTACCACTTTAAACCCTAAAGCTAAACAAATATCGTTTCTAGGAACTACTACTTTATTTCAAACTAATTTGCTAACATCTAGTGTTGCAACTAATAGGTTGCTAAAATGGGATGAAATTAATTTTCCTGAAACCTGGAACCTTCCTCAGGCCATAGAACCTGAACCTATCCTTAATAAGGATGTTGATCAAATAATCCAGTCTAGTGAAGGAGATTTGGAAATAAACTTTAACTCTAAAATAATTATTAGAATACCTAGATCTATGTATGGAAGACATTCTGCGAATTCTATAAATGAGTTTTACTCTGCTCCTAGTCAATTACCTATATCTTCTACTTCTCAATTAAGAGAAGAAATAGAGGTAGTCGAAAATATAAGACTTAGCGAAAATAAAATTCCCCATGGAATATATGAAAAACCAAATCCTTCTAGAGTAGAATCGCCTACTTCCTCAGACATGGACTTCCCGTTATAATGTTAGATTATTCCTCAGGTAGTAATCTAAGAAACCTTGTCAATGACGAGTTTCAGCATGAAAGATACACTCAATTTAGAAAATGGTTTTTTAAAACTTTTTCTGCCCTTGTATTAGCAAGTTTTAAAGATGAGTACTATACTCAGATGTCTATGAACCAAGATTTCATTCCCTTTGTCAAATATGTTTGCTGACTTAGACATAAGTAATCAAAATACTAATGAGATAAATCCTGTTTATACCTCTAAACCTTTAGAGAAATACTATTATAAGTGTGCCTCTCCTCAAGATTTACTTTTTGAAGAACCTGAACCCTTCCAAAATTCGTATTCTGGAAAAGCCATTTATGAATGGAACATTGATGGGTTAAATGAAAAATAAATCCTTGATACATAGAATGAATATGTATTCCACTGTTTGTAAACAAAACGGAAATTCCGACAGAGATATTGCCACCTTCATATCCACTGGATTTGTTGGTCAATTAAGAGCATGGTGGGATCATTATCTCACCGATAGTCAGAAAAAGGATATTCTTGACCATAAGAAAATGATTAAGTCCGAAGCTCCTGTAATCGAAGCAAGTGGTGTTGCCACCACAAGCGAAGAAGATGCGGTTTATACAATGTGTCTCTCTATCCTTCAGCATTTTATTGGAACCAATATCCCTATTGGAGAATAACAATCACAATCAAACGAATTGTAAATTATTTTTGGCTATGTAAGTCGAAATCTTTTTTAGCACTTCGAATTCAATCATCATCACTGAATTCACTTCCCCTACCTGTTCGGGTTATCCCAGATACACCAAGATATGACAGGTTGTCTTCACCTACTACATCTCTATCCTATCAAAAACCTCGGATGTGATGCATATACCACGGACAATAAACGTTGTTATCTGGGGTGAAATCAAAATTGGTCGGATTGCATGGAGCAATGTTGGCTAAGTGTTTGTCAAAACTGCGTCGATCGACATGACTGATTGGGGCCTTAAAATAAGCTTGATCAGCCTCAATATTTATTATAAAAAATGGTCATATTTTTATAGGTGGAATGAAGGAAAAAAATTGAAATGAAAAACAATATTTTTTATTTATATTATACATTAAAAAAATGATGAAACAGAGGTCTAATTAAAAAGAAAATATTCCATTTAAATTTGAAATCTAATATGTGTGTGTGTGTGTGTGTGTGTGTGTGTGTGTGTGTGTGTGTGTGTGTGTGTGTGTGTGTGTGAGGTGCAAATGTTTATATAACAAAAGCCAAAAAGAAGGTACAAGACGTATCTAAGGCTCTGTTTGGTAAAACTAATTTATAGTTGATAGTTGGTAGCTGGTAACTGATAAATTTTGGTTTATAGCTGATGGCTAGTGTCGCACCTCGAAAAATCACACAGACATTTCGGAGAAATGACCCTTGCGCTAAAGGCGCGGAAAATGCGGTTCGACGGAGTCGCCACCGAACTTTATTTATCCCAAATAAACGGGAAATGAAAATATCGAGAAAACCTCTTAAAACGAAAGGAACACGACCATCGCAACCTGATATTTCAGGTTCGGGAGTCGGTTACGCGAGGGGAAGGTATTAGCACCCCTCGCGTCCGTTGTACTCAACGAGAATCTTTTAATTTGGATTATGATGAATGTTAGCTGAGCTTAGTTGTTCTCTTCTCAATACTAAATGCTAAATGATATGATAAAAGGATAGAGACGATAAGGGGAAATGAGATGGTTAAAGGATAGGGTGCTCCCCAAGGATTGGGGCCCTTGTGCCTATGTATGCTCATTCGGGCGAGAATGATAAATCAGAGCGTCGTAGTTCGACTACGAGAAAGGATGGGGAAAACGGAAGATGAGGGAAGGTAGATGGAGAAAAATGGAAATGTGCTCGCCAAGATCATCATAATCTTGTGCCTACGTATCTTACATTCCAGAGTGAAAGAAGAATCAGAGCATCCGTTGTTCGTGGTAACGACCACGAAAAAACGAGGTTGAATTGGTTTGAATTTTAGGTCGGATGACGATTACTCAAAGCGTAAGAAAGGCTCGTCGGGCCTAAGTAATCGGGAAAGCGAGTCAAAGGCTTGACTATCTCTCTTTTTCGCCGCGAAAGAAGTTGTGTTTGAATGGTGTTTAAAATGATGATCGGTTTAGAAGATGGTTGAACGTTGTCGAGTTATTAATGTTATTTAGAGGCGTCAATTGCTCACACACGAGTAAGATAACTCGTATCCAAACAACTGAAGGGAGATCAAAGGCTCAATCTCCCTCTTTTCACCTTGAAAAGAATCGAATAGTTATTAATTGATTAATAGTTTTATTGAGAAAATTCGTTTGAAGTTGGATCAAAGGTTTGACTTGTATTCGCGTGCAAAATGTGTTGGAATGGAAATGGGTTGAGAAATGGCTCGACGGCGAGTCGAGGTTTGGATTGAAAATTGAACCGACTTGGAAACAAATCAAGAGTTAGGGTGTGAGAAACGATACTAGTCCCTGAGGGTGCCCCCAATATCGAAACCACGATGAAGTGTGTGCAATAGGTTGATGGCGAATACAGACAAGCACTTGACTTACAGAAGGTGTTTGAAAATGGCTCGATGACGAATAGAGAATTAGTTTGATCTAGGCTAGTTCCTATGGGTGCTTCTAGAAGATAAACCAATAATCAAAGAAATACCAAACATACATCGGAATGGGAGAGGGGTACATGTAAGTTACACGGGATTGCACGAAATAAAAGGTCTCATTGTCAAGTAGC